GATCAATTGTTAGAACTAAATTAGTTTCTCCCTCCTGACCTTCTCTTAATGTAGCAAAAAAGTGATGGGAAAAATACTGCGTACCCTAATAGGAGGAGAGAGGACTAATTTATATAGGGGTGTCTTTAGATCTGGTACGTCCATCAAATATCCAGATTAATGGCTTAGATTTGTTTTACCATTAATTAAAGACTAGCCCAGTAGGATAATTAATTGTGAGCCCAATACTTTCGGGCCACATATTCTTACATGGCACTAATTTTTGTTGTCAGTGTGTTTTGACTTTAAAAATTGAAATGACAAAGAAAGACGACTCATGATAATATTATAAATTTTGGCACGAAAATTCTTGTGTGATGCGACTCGATCGTTATATGGATCAAGTTGTTATATATTTGTCACAAAAATAGATGTTTATGTTATCAAAAGTCATAGTTTTGTTTACGTTTTATAAAAAATATTGTACATATTTTTATTTTAAAGTATTAATAACAATTAAAAAAAATACAACTGCCAAACCCTAAAACTTGCACATCATTAGTTTCTATTTCAATAGAATCGAATTCAAATTGTATTAATAAAAGTAGGACACTTTCTCATCAAGCAAAAATCCAGTTAGAAAAGGGAAAGTTTTATATCATGCAATAGGTCATATAAAAATCAAGTGTCTTGGCCTGACCACGACAACATCGGGTGTCGTATCCCCGTCAAGTCTTGGTTTGACAACGACAATATCGAGGTGTCGTATCTCCATCAAGTCTTAGCTTAAGTCATTTGACCTTTTTTTTGCACAAAAAAAAAAAAAACAAAATATATACTTAAATCAACGTTACCACTTACCCGTTTTCCTATTTCAACCCAACTAAAGCTTTCCGTACAAAAATAGGAGAAAAATCGGCCGGAAAAAAATTCCAAAACTGCCCCTACAAGAACCGCCTCACGTCCTCGGTCCCTTCTATAAAAACCGACCCCTCTCATCACCCCAATCCCTCGCTTTCTGGACTCATATTTTCTACAGATTCCGAAATTTGTTGAGGCAAAAGAAAAATCTATGGCGGCCACTGAATCTAAGATGATCGTGCTGAGTACCTCCGACGGGGAGATCTTCGAGGTGGATGAGTCGGTCGCCTGCGAGTCGCAGACGATAAAGCACATGATCGAGGACGGCTGCTCTACCAACGCCATCCCGCTCCCAAACGTCTCGTCCGAGGTGCTTTCGAAGGTGATTGACTACTGCCGGCGCCACGTGGAGGAGAAAGCGGAGGACAAGCTGAAGGAATTCGACGCCGAGTTCGTGAAGGTCGACAATGGCCTGCTGCTTGAACTGATCAAGGTATCTTCCGCCTGTTCGATTGTTTTGAGTTTTGAAACCCTTAATTTTGTCGTTGGTGTGTTTTTCGCCTCCTGATTTTGTTGCATTTATTGCTTTGCCTCTGTACATGGTTTCAATCTGTGTTTGCGGGTTTGATTGTTTTGAGTTTTGGGCCGATGTAGTTTCGCTATTGATTTTGTCGCATTATTCTCAGTAGGTGGGTATAACTCTGTGTTCTCGGTTTGATTTTTCGTTTTCGTGTTTGATTATTTTGCGTTTGGACTCTGGATTTTGTTGCATTTACTGGGTTCCCTATGTAGACGGGAACTCCGTTGTTTATTATTTTGGTCTTTCAGGGAATATTTACTCAGGTTTTGAGTTTTTTGTTGTACGAATAGGATTCGCCGTGTCTCTCATATTGTTTTGCCACGAGATGTTGGGTTGAACAATCCTGTTCTATTCGTGTTTGTTCGATTTCGATAGTTGTGGGTTATGAACTAATCATTGGATTTGTATATTTAACTGTTCTAAGAATGCGCATCGTGTAGGTCTGTGCGAATCTACGAGTTTTTTTTGTTGAGTCTTGTAGAATTGTGGTACAAATTTCATTCTATTCAAGGATTGCAAAGATAATAATAACATTGTCTGCAGTGTTTATGGAATGCCATGGATAGTTTCAAGACAAAGCTGTCCTCAGTGTTCACTGCAAGAAGCTTTCATACAAGCAAAACATAATTAATGTTGTTGTCATTTTTTTGTTTAACACTAGTGCTCTCGCGTTTTCAGGCTGCCAACTACTTGAACATCGAAGGGATGCTCGACATCACGTGCAAAGCTGTGGCAGACATGATCAAGAACATGTCGATTGAGGAGATTCGCGCGCATTTGAACATAACTAACGACTTT